ATAAATCATTTGCAAAAACTCATTCGATAATTTTACAAACAAAATTTGCTAAAGGAAAACGAAAAGGTGGTGAAGATCTTATTAAAGTTTTAAATCAAAATGAAAATGATGAATATTTTCAATTCGAAAAAGACTTTATTCAAGTAATTTATTTATTAGTTTTAAACCGAACAAAAAAAAAATGATACTTTCATATTTTAGCTTTCGTGTAATACTTCATTACCAAAAGAAATATTTCCAAATAGTCATTTATCTGATATATTTTCTTCAGTTACATCATATCATACATGGCAAATTTTCAATATAATCAATGAAACAACCATAGCTGTCAATCGCTATGATTACGTTAATTTTTATCATACCATAGCTGATCTTTATACAGTTTATCTTTTATGTCGATTTTTTCGTCATAATCCGAAATCTGTTCGTATACTCTTTCTTGATACTCATCCGAAAGGTAATTTAGATCTATTATGGTCACAATTATTTCATTCATATATTCGTTTGGGACATTTAAATATTTCTTCAATATTTTATAAAGAATTAATTTGGTCACCACCACAATCACAGTCTGAATTAGATTTAAAACAATCTCGAAAAATAGCACCAAGTTATTTTATTGATTTTCGTCAACATGTTCTTGAAAACTTTAATATTTATTCGAAAATAAATAAAGATTTTAATTGTCAAAATATCAATATATTTTTTCTTGTTCGTCATAATTATATAGCACATCCAAGAAATCCAACAGGAAATATAAAACGAAAATTAATAAATGAAAATCAAGTTTTCAATGAATTAAAAATAAAACTTCAAAATTTTTCATCTATTCATTTTACTTTTAATCATTTCGAACAATTACCTATACAACAACAATTATCAATTATTACACAAACAGATATTTTTATTGGTATGCATGGTGCTGGTTTAACACATGTTCTTTTTATGAAATCAAATCGTACTTTGATTGAACTTACTACAACTGCTTGGCAAAAACAAACACATTTCGAACAGATGGCTTCGATTAATAATATTAATTATCATCGATGTTTAATTCTCAATGGACATCCAACAACAGCAAAAACTATATTTAATTGTTTAACAAAAACACTTTTTCATATGTGTCCATTATTTAAATTATCAATGAATACTACTATTCCTTGATTGACTATAAAAAAAGAACCGATGTAAAATATAGAAATTTATTTTGTAACAAAAGAATATTCTTTCTGCTGTTTCATAGGATCTAAAACATGGTTATTGGTTTATAGAATTTGTATTATTGAGCACTATGGATGATTCATTACACTCACATATGTACTCAATCTACAATCATAACATCCACTTTTCCTTTCATAGTATAAATAATACAAATTTATATTTTCTTATTTCATTTATTAGATTATTCTGAAGAAAAAAATAGATTATATTATCAACAATAGAATTCTTAGTATTTCTTACTTGCATCAAACTATAAAACTTTTTTGAATATTACGAAATTTTTCTTTATTATCCATTAGTAAGAAGAAAAAATGAGATAGCCTTAGAAAGAGACAATTTGACATGAAGTGGATTTTCCCTTTTTGTTTTCTTTTGCTGGCATTCAACAAAAATGTATCAAACAAAACTACTTCGAAGCCAAGGAACAAAAGCCTTAACATTTGTACATAGATAAATAGCCAAAAAAAGAAGAAGTAAATAGTCGATAATTATGACAGTAATGAAACTGTCATACATAAATTAAATGAATGTCTTTGTGTCAACGTCGGAATCATCCGTGGTTCTGTGGTCATAAATCAGTGATTTATATTATTCATTTTTCTTGTTTTTCTTTTCAAATAACAATCGTAAATATATTTGATGTAAGAAACATTTCAATGCTTATATATAGAAACACATATGTTTGTTCATAAATACGTCCTCGAGATTATATTCTTGTTTGTTGTATAAGAGATTAGATATTGAGTAATATGAGACAATAGCTTTTTTCTTTGTAAATGGAAAACGTGATAGCTGTGTCATTGATATTAGCCATTGTACACATACTTTGATGATGGGCATCATCAGCACGTTTTTCTGTTATCTATTGCCTGCTGGGCTTGTTCCTATGACATTGATTGATGACACACTAGAAAGAAATAATAGTCTTGTGATGAAAATTTCTATATAGACCGCTAAGTATATGTCCATATATCAAAGTAAATGCTATTCAAATATTAATTATGTATTTCAAAACAAAAAAAAAAAGTAAACGTGGTCTTCTAAATAAATAGATGTAGAATGTATAATCGCTTATGTTCTATGCTCATTTTATCCATGGAGGTCATGAACAAATGGCAATAATTATCTTTCATGAATTGTACTCAACAAATGCGTTAGTTTTTCTTATATATCTATATGTTTAAGGACATAGGCAATAGTCCAAGTAAATAATTCATCATGATAGAAGCAAGGTCAATTGTAATATCTTATGAGATAGAACGATTTAGAAATACCAAAGTTATGCTATTGGACTGATGAGAGGTGAAAGAAGAAGATTATTGATAGACTCTGTATTTTTTTTTCATCAGTGACATTCATAGTTTTCTCTATAGATAAAATTTTGTTTCGGTAAGTACATGTATATTTATCTCCATAATCAAAATTTATATAAAATCGAGCTAATCAATGACAAAGATGAATGAATTATATCTTTAGTTCTTTTAACATATTTTCTCTTTCTTTTATTCGATTATAATATGCTAAAATACTAAATACGAGCAGCATATAATACTTGTTTTGGTTGTGCATTTAGAGAAAATGAGAGAAATGAATGATAGTTTCAGTGACTGACCGATAATATCTGTTTTTTGGATTCTGATATATATATATACCTCGATCATCAATAAGAATCAATGTTTGACTGAAAGAACATATTGATAGAGACGATCCAAAAAAGAAAATGAATGTCTATTACTTCTCATAATTTTTTTCTCTAGGGAAGCATTTACACTTTGAACTCTTTTTTTTAATTAGTGGCTCATCTTTGTTTTAAAACTTCTCTATGTCAAAAAAAAATTAATACTTCAAACATTTATCATGATTTGAGAAAATGATGTATTTGATTGACTTGTTCATAGTCAAGATGTACATGAGAGATAATTTATCATTTGAGCAAGTGAATAAATAAGATATTCTCTTTTGTTTTATAGAGATTATAATACAATTAAGTAATGTCTGAATGTTTCTATACGCTTCTTTTTTTTTGTTTGTTTATTCGTTATGCTTGGTGTTCTTCACCTTATTAAGCGTTAATGTTTTTATCATTACTAAATGTATACTTTCTATCGTCTTAAAAAGAAAAATCTCGAAGGAAAAAGATCGAAGAAAAAGAAGACGAATGTCAGTGTTGATATTATGTATCCATAACTAGTACTTATGCAATAGCTTCTCTTCGCTTTGATTGGACCAAGAGGCTATCCTTATCTTTTTTTCTTCTGACATAATGATGAGAGACAAAGGTAATGAATGATTTGTACTTTCCGAAAAAAAAGCTACTGAATTTTTCTCTATTTATATATATATGTCTGATATTGATCATATCCAGAATTTTCAGCCAACAAAATACCTTCAGGTTGTTACTCTGTTAATATGCATACATTCGCACGTGTATGTCTAAGTACAGATAACTCCATAAATATATTTTCTCGATAGTAATCTAGTTACCGTATCGTGCAAAATGCACTGGTCGCGGCTTATAGTAACATATCATTTTTTTGGCTAACTTATTATTGGTAAGGAAAAAGAAAAAGAGGGAGAGAGAGAGAGAGAGAGAGAGAGAGAGAGAGAGAGCGGGAGAGAGAGATAAAGAAAAAAGATACTACTCTTGCGGTCTGCGGTGGTAGCATTAGTGGTTATACCAATCATTACTCAACATATATCGCTGTAGAGAGAAAGAATAACAACGTTGTCGGACGGTTATTCGGCTTTTTTTTCTAGCTTATAGCGTACTAACTGTTCCTATGTGGTCGTCGAGTTTGTTTCTAGTATTACCAGGCAAGAAAAAAATTATTTATCTAAGCTCGACGAACGATAGACATGGCTCATAGCGTATATGCTACTTGTTTGCGTTTATCTTCGAGAAAGACAGTCGTATAACTTCTGCATTTATGTCTCTTTTTTTCCAAGAGCAAAAGAGTAAAGTAAGCTATTCAATATAATAGAGATAAGAAAAAAGTTTAAAAAAAAAAAAAAGAAAAAACTTTTATATATAAATTTCTTTTTTGTATATTTAATAGTTATTTAAGATTGTATACACTATGTTTTCGAGTTGCTAATATATAGTATATATATATATAAGTTGTTTATGCTTGTGTTACACCTTCTAATATGTCCAGGGAAAAATATATCTTCTAAGTGTAATTGTCTATATTTGACATGAATTTTAGATGAATCTTATGATTGCGCATACTTTTTTCTTTCTTTGAAACATACTTTAGATGGTTAGATTTACATCATGATAAGATATGAAGATCGAATCATTTTTCGTCTCATTATGTATTAGACGAGATGAAGATAATCAGTGTATAACTATTTATTTTGTGTGTGTGTAAATATCGTTTATTTTCTTGTATATATATTCAATTTTCAGATATAATTCTCTTAGTCTTTTTCCACTTGTCGATCCTATTGTTCCGGGGATGGACGCCAAGATCATCACAGGTTTTATCCTGTGGTTTTGTTTTATTGCAAGCATATCGATATCTCAAGTAAGATATTTGTTGATAAGTATTATGTATTAATTATAAAATTCTTATATTAGATTGAATCCTCCACACTCAATTCAAGGCAAAGGTTTAGACGACAAAATGATGAAAGTAAGTTGGTTGCAATTAAACAATTACATTTTTTTAACCCTTGTTTAACCATTAATTCTTTCATCCTTTTTTGCTACCTGCTTTCTCCCGCTATTAGGTACTGCTTGTCCGGAAGGAACTAAACCTTGTAAAGATGATAACAACATGTGTGTCACGTATTGCGATGGAAACCCCGAATGTGTTGATGGTTCTGATGAGCTCGATTGCCGTAAGTATATTATGAACGATCATCATCAAGGAACCAATTCTTTACTTCAAAAAATCCTTCACCTTCAGCTACTCGTGCTCCTGTTACATCGTCCGACAGTATTGCTTTTGCTCAAAGTACAGAATCGAGTGGTAATGGAAACGAACCTGCCAATATACCTGGAGGAACAACTGATATAACTGAAGCTACTCTTCCACAAATAACAGTACTCGATCGTGAATCTGCGCCGACAGGTGTGATTTTCATAGAGAACAGAATATCAAATTGCACGTTTTCTTTTTTTATTTTGAGTTGATCTTGATTCTTGATTTACTTAATGAACTATATGTTTTTTGTCTTTCTATTTTAGCTGCTGTAGATACAACTGCTAATGGTAAGTTTTAAAGATTTTCTTCAATTCTTTCTTTACTAACAACATGAACAGAACTGCTTTTCTATGTCACTAAAAATTTCTTGCTTCTTTTTACTCTAAAATCTACAAATACCTATCCTCTACATACGTAGAAGGTGTAAATACAGCCGTTACCCAACAATCAACTGCCGAAGAAGCACAAGCAGCAACAACGGTGGCTGCTGATGTTACAATAGCTCCTGCTGCCGATGATGCTACAACAGCTGCTGCTAATGCCGATGCTGATGCTACAACGGCTGCCGCTGCGGACGCTGAGGCTACAACAGCTGCCGCCGCTGATGCCGATGCTACAACAGCTTCCGCTGATGTTATAACTGCTGCTGCTGCTGCCGCTGATACCACAGAAGGTTCTGCTGCTGATGATGCTACAACCGCCGCTGCTGCCGCTGATGCCGATGCTACAACGGCTGCCGCTGCTGATGCTAATGCTGATGCCACAACAGCTGCTGCTGATGAGGCTGAAGCTTCAACAACTGCTGCTGCTGCTGGTGAGGCTGATGCTACAACAGCTGCTGCTGATGCTGAAGCTACAACAGGTGCTGGCGCTGATGCTACAACAGGTGCAGCTACCGATGATGCTACTACTGAAGCAGCAGAAAATGGCGCCACTGGCGATGCTACTAAAGGTAGTGAAGCTGAAGAAGGAGCAACAACAACTGCTGACGCCCATCTTGAAACATCAACTGGTGCAGATGACTTGACATCCGCTAAACCAGGAAATGGTCATGTAACTGAAGATGAAAGTAGTACAGCTGGTGTTACTGGAGACGCCACAAGTCCTCATGATGTATCCGATCAAGTAACAACTGTTGAAGCTACTACTACAGATTCAGATATAGCAACAACTGCTAGTGATGCAACTACAACAGATGATACTTCTGATGCAACTCAAGATTCATCGACTGATGCTTCAAATGGAAGTAACGGATTAGTAACAACAGTAACAGGTACGATGATATTATCTAGACTTTAAATGAAATGGTTTGTGCATGATAATATCATTTGAATGAATCTTCTATTTCATATATCTAGTTTGCTCGTTTACTTAATTGATTATTGCTTGTTTTGGATTCTTTTATTTTAATTTAATCGAATAATTATTTAATCTATTCTAATTATTTTAGATGAAACCACCACAGATGGTAAGGTTATTAAAATATTTGATTTTGAACTGTTCTTTTCTTTTGCATGGATTTATAATTGCCTGCATATGCATGAATAGTATAATCTGAAGAGAAAATTTATGTACACACAAGAATCATAATGATAACTTCAATAAATGACAATACAGAAAAAAACAGTGCAATTAACAACAAAGATCTAATAGCAACTACAAAAATAACTCAATGTATTGCGAACAGAACAACAATAGTAGAGGATGATGTTTCAGTGGAAGGCAACGTAATTGAATATGTAACTACAACAACAACAAAAATAATAATAATAATAACTAATGATGTTGAAAATTATGATAATGAGAAAGATGAGACCACAAACGGAAACCAAATTCTCAAAGAATGATTATTTCCAGATGTAACGAGTGAGATTAGTATTCACAAGTCATCTGTTATTTCGTAATGATACTCGTGCGTATTAACTAACTAGCTTCTTCTTCTCTTGAATAGCACATAATGTCAGTTGTTGTGTCGTATAATATTTTCTACTTGTGTTAATTATCGTCTTAGAGAAAAGTAAATTAAAAAAAAAGATTATTGCATGTTAATGATTATGGTTATTGTTTGTTATTCTACTTTGACATGATGTAATGATAAAATAATATTTTTTTTTACATTTAATTTAGACAATGTAACTCAAACTACTATTGCTGAAGGCAAGTAATGTAAAATTATTTTCAAAGGTAGTTGAGTTTTTTTCTCTCTTGAGAACATTGACTAATATTGAAGATTATAGAAGACTAAAGAAATATGTTCATTGAGATATGTTAGATTCATAGATTAAATAAAATTAGGATATTTAACAAAACTCAACTTTCATTATTTCTCTCGTTATAATTCGAATTCATCTTAATTATATAAATGACTTTTATTTCTTTTTTTTATTGAATAGAAGATACAACTGTTGCACCTGTTCAACCAGAACCTAGTGACCGAGTTGAACTTCGTGTTGTTATTAGTCCAGAAATTCTCCAAGTACAACGTGGTCAAACTTATGAAATGACTTGTACTGTTTATGGTGCTGATGCAAGCACAACCATTTACTGGATTCAAGAAGAACCAGAACGAGTAAAATAATTCATTTATAGTCTAAAATTAATTAAAGAATAATTTTTAGCGTTATGCTCTTACTGATCCAGCTCAAGCAACTGATAAACAAGTAACAATGTCGCAAGTATCATTAAAAGCACGTATTACAATTGATGATCCAAGTAAAATCGGTAAATATACATGTATGGCACAAGATACAGCTGGTAACAGTGGTGCAGCTATTCTTACTATGGAAGAAGGCCGTTATTATCCACCAGTAGTATATCCACCAGTAGTATATCCACCAGTATATCCACCAATTACACCTGGAGGTAACTTTGAGAAACAAACGACAAAGGATACTTGATTTTATTTTTTATAATTACAATTCTTGATATTTTCTAGGAGGTGGTCAAGGATATTTACGTATTGTTGCACCTGATATGGCTGAAGGTGATTATATAGAAATTCAATGTGAAGGTGCTGCACCAGAAGATGAAGGACGTATTCAATGGTTTTTTAATAACCGAGTAAGAATTTCTTTTTTAAATCATAAAGATTTGAAATAATTTCTAAACGACTTTATTTTAATAATTAATTGAGAAAAAGACAGTTGTTAGCACAATCCCTGTGAGATTGAAATATAAAACATGATGCAGCTACTATTGCTAATCACAGGAAGATTACTTTATTTTATCTATTTGGAGACATATTTTTTCACCATCCTTTTACGTAATCGTTCAAATATGCAATAAGGAAGTAGTTCATATTTTAGGACAAGATGTTTTTCATATAAAGTAGGTCATCGTATATCAGTAGTATCTGTGACTGTCTCTGCCTAGCGTCTATCACGATCTGTGATGATTTTTAATTAGCATCCCTCAATGTCTGTGATGGCCTCTGACTGGCGTCTGTGACGGTCTCTGTCTAGCGTTTGTCAAGATCTGTGAGAGTACAGCATGCATTTTTCATATGGCAGGCGGACATTTCACTTTCTTGCTCAGAAATGATTTGATATGATAGAGAAATGCATTTTTAAGGAAAAAACAAACCCATTTTTGAGAGAAGGAAAGTTTTCAACGAAAAATGCCAGAGGAGAACCCTTGCATTTACGTTTTTTGGAGAAAATATTTTTCTTCAAAATTGTTTTGCATTATACATCATTCGACGTAGCTAAATGCACTGATCCCGAATATACTGTTTTTGTTGATTAAGCATTTTTCAAGGCCAAAAAACACTTTAATATACATAAGAAACCTAGGTTTTCTAGAAACTCACTATGCAGTCCATGAATATTTATGCTAGCAGAGATTAGAGACAATAGATAGAAGAACATTCTCGCGAGATATGGAACATTTTGAAAATTGGATGTAGGTGAATTTGGTCATTTTATAGGACTAACTCTTTAGACGACACTGTAGAAACCAATATTCTTTTTTTNAATAGATAACTTGATGTGCTCTATAATCTGAGCAGGTCAAAAACAAAAATTTGGTTTAAAGTTAGTTTTCTGGAGATCTGGTTTTCTAGAAAACCACCATATAAAGGCCTAAGGGCATTTCTCGTGCCCATATTCGGAATCAACATAGTCGATAACCTAGAACCCAGTAGGTTTTATTTAAAAAGCGATTGGACAGTTGGCGATGTTCCCTCGTTAGTGTGATTTTACACAAACAGCACTGCATAAGAGTGAAAGCACTGTGAATAATGTGAGAATTTTCCTAGAAGTATGATTTTTATTAATTATGGAAGATTATGACATTCGGTATTATAATATTTCTATAATGAAATGTTTCATCATAAAATTACTGATAATCGATTTAGTTTTACTTTTCAACGAAGAAGATTCTAATATCTGTAAAAACATCTGACAGTACAAACAACTGAAGGTTGATAGAATCACAAATTGAAAAAATAACAGATCTAAATAAAAGATGAATAGCAGCAAATATGAATTATCTACACTTAGAATTCAAAATAAACTAGATTATATAAGATACTAGTGAGAACCTGTGCATACTACACAGTCGTATATTTTCATCACCGAAAGCAAGTTTCTTCCGATGGTGAAGAAATTGTCAAAGATGTAGTTAGAGCCCTCTTACCTCCACTATTTACACACACGTTATTTGGGTGAGTATGGCGTGTAGGCAGTGTAGGTTTGAAGTAATGGTGTTGCATGTAGGTGTGATTTTGGCGTTAATTCATGATCTTCAATATAACTACAATCTGATCCATCCAAACATCAAACTATACTCATATCCACTCACACCTCCCGCACTCTACATTACACCTGCCTCACTTCATGCCAGACCCCCCCCCCACCGCCTACACCCATATCACTCTCTCCTCATCTCCACACAACACCTATATCAAACACCTTTACTCCACACTCTACACCAGCCCTCATCCAGTCACTCACTCCACTGTGCACCCTACACCGAACCACACGATGACCTTTGACCCGGCACAGACAGACACTAAACATTATATGTATAGATAATCTAAATTCTTAAATAGTACAAATGCAAATAAGATGCAACATAATATTGAATTTCTCTGCTTGATAATAACATTAAGAAGTCATGTCTATTCTGATCAATATCAGTGAACGCTCAAGATCAATATGAGATACTACGTATGTAATATTCAATTAACGAACGCTCTATATAATACAGTAGCAGCTGCATTTATTTCCTGTCTACACTAAAGATGTGTGGCAGCTAGTTCCAGTCCCACTGACCACCGACACCAAAATTTGATAGTTTATCGGGATCGGAACTGTGAGAAAAAAGTTGTTCCAGTCGACTCAAAAAGTGCTAGTCATCGACTAAATAAATCAAAAAATGAGTGTTGAAGAATTTGTTTTGGTGCGATACGAATAAATTTTAAAATCATTTTCTTCAGGTCGGGGATCAGGATCAAAAAATCTTGATTCAGCACATATCTAATCGATGCAAATAATAATGAATATCCAAATATAAATTCTGCTTTAATCAAAATATCTAATAACTATAAACTTTTGATTAATATTAATACTATCTGAAAATCTGTTAAATGATCACAGAGATTAAATCTTAAAATTCATTCTTTCTAAAAAATACTTCGAATTTGTCTAGAAAACACTGGTCGTAATCGTTTATGGCTGGAATCAAAAGTCGTAAGGGCTACGATCGGTTCTTATGATTACTGCGATATACCGATGATAGTACGAACAAATATGTGACATGATATATACAATTTGAGCTGTATTGTTTCCGGTAAAAATACAATAGAGTACTAGAAAAATAGCTTGCGGTTCATAGAGAACTTCAAAAAAATAAAAACAAGAGTTCTCTCGTAACCTACTAATGCTCTTGTTTTTTTTTTCGTTTTCTTATCCATTGGTGTGTTAGGTTTCTTTATGCAAGATTTGTTGTTGCATATGACATTAGTTTAAGCAAACAAAACGATTTTACTATTTTTGAATTTTTGTCACACCTTCAAGTGATGTACAAGAATTTTATAGACGAGAAAAACAATAAATAACCTTTTGTTTCGTTTGAACATAGTCGATTCTTTTGAACACAAATTCTAGAAGGTTTAATGATATTCTTCGAATTTATATTAATTTTTTTAACTTTGCATTGAATACTTTGTTTGTTTTGTTAAATAAGCCATTGGAAGAATTTTCGTTTGTCATTACTTTCTTCCTTTCGCTGTTTTTCTTTTTTGAAATATTGTTTGTTAAAAAAACAAATGTTTCGCAAAGCAAAATAAAAGAAGCGTCTGTAGTTGTTTTCATCAGTCAAAAAAGCAGACGTATTCTTCAAGTTTTTACCATGTCGATTAGTAGTTTCTCAAATTTAAGTACTGGTGAAATTGCTGGTCTTGTTGTGGGTATTGTATTAGCAATTGTTTCTGTTATTGGGATTATTGTAGCCTTATGTGCTTTATGTGGTAAGAAAAAAAATCCATCACATGTGCAACCATATTCTTCATATCCATATCCCCAAAATCCTTATGGTCAACCGATGAATCAAGGTTATTATCCACAACAACAGCCTTTGCCTCCACGACAACAATCGTGGAATCCACAGTCAGTGAATTATGTACAAAATCCTGCTTACTATAATTCAAAATAAAACCATTAACTCAAATGAAAGATTTCAGACATTTAATAAGATACTTTTGATACTATTTTAAACTAGCGTCTAAATGAAAATCATTTTCAATGCATGACTATTTACAAAGTATTCAACTTTCTATTTTTTTTATTCATTATTGTGAAACAAACATAGAATAATCATAGTAAATAACAACCTATGATCTGTCGTGACTAATAAACTTTAAGATTGAGTTTTGAAAGAAATCATCTCTTGACAAGGTGCCAAATCATGAATACGCATCAATGAACCATTACTTTTTCCTATAATTTGCTAGTGATGGCTAGAAATTTTCTTGTACTACTGTAGGAAATGTAAGAGTACTTACGAGCAAACATTGCAATACGAAATTACGATGAAAGAAATTTAGTAGAAAGAAATTTGAACTCTACAATAGCTTTTTTCAACACATAGCTAAAAAATTCATATTATTTCTATTTATTATTGTATCAATTATAGTAGATATATTTATATTTCTTTTGATTATACTTAATATTTGTAATAGATAAATAGAAATAGTACGAATTAGATTCGTTTGGAACAAGCAAAATCTCCAATCACATCCTCAGAGATATAATGAAAAAAGAATTAGTCATTAAAGCTTACCAATTTCTACAAAATTTTTCATATACTGATCATTTCTGATAAATTATATCTTTGTATGAACAAATAAAATGGAGAGAAGTTAATGTACCAATATTTCAACATAAATCTTCGATCGGAATGTCTTGGCATCCAATTTAAATTGATAAACTTCTTACTCTACACTTAAAAGCCAACGTCGATTATCATAATTTGATGCATATATGAAATTAACTCAATGGTACTTCCGCTGTCAAATAATATTCTACGCTTTAGTGAAATCTCTTCAAATATTTCATTATAGTTTTCCGTATAAATACAGTAAATATGGATGTAATTTGTTTTCTTTTTCTTTGCTTTAGTAAATCAATTACGGTTATAATTAAATTTAACGCTAATTGATATAGAATATTTTCAATGAAAGAATGTTTCATTTTCATAATTGCATATTGAACATTATTTTTCTTTCTTTGCATATAAGAATTAATGATTTGGTTTTGTTCTGTCATATTAATGGCAAATCATCATTAAATATAATTCAATAAATATTCCTTTTTAAGAAAAGACTATATTCTCCTTTTTGATAGATATTAAAACAAAAAATATATGTGAAGATTTGCGTGAATGAAAAAGGAAATAGAATGAAACTTTTTAAAGAAAAACTTACTAAATATACACGATATATTCATCGTAATCGGAAAGACACTTTGGCCTGCCTTTTTCCGGTCGTAAACGTTCTTAAGTTTCTTTTCTGAAAAAAACTTTTTTCAGGGTTGCCTTGTTCTTTTTTTACATTCAAATCTCATACAATACAAAGTATTCTAGAATAATTTAAACTCAATTATAGTAGCAATACTTAGCATTAGATTGAAATCAAAAAAATTCGAGAATATGTGCATGCCAATTTTTTAAGACTTCTTTTATCAAACAGATAGAATACAACAAACTGATGTTGTTAATATTGGTATTATTATTGTTCAATGATGATAAAAGACTATAATAATAATGAAAAGGGCATTGTTTATTTAATAATCTTGCACAATGTCGATGGTGTACAGACATTTCAGCCCAACATTCCATATTGTGGACGGCCAGCACGTCGTTCTCGAATATCATTCACCCATTCTTCAATATCATTATTAACTTTTGGCACTGAAATATAGAAAAAAAAAACAATTTAATAAACATAAAAGAACAAATTTTTTTATCATACCGTCAGTTCGTTTACCCAAATAACCATAAGAATAACGTTTACCGAGTACACCAAATTTAAGATGTTGACGACGAAATGGATGTGGTGTTAATTGTTGCGTTGCTGATATGTCTAAATTCTTTCTGTTTCGATACGATACATCATATTCATCGCTTTCGGAACTTTCATTCATCGGTTCTTCATTAATTAATGCAGCAGCATCTAAGTTATGATTTTAAATAAAAATACGATAAAAAAAAATCAAAAAAAAAAACTTTAGTTCACCTGTACATGCAAGGTTGAATACGAATATCAGCAGAGTACCGACAAGTATCAAAAGATTCGGTGAGAATTTCATTTTTTTTAAGTATTATCTAGAAATTGAAAGAAATAAAGAAATGAAGTAAAACATATGTCCAGGAAATTGCTCAGACACCGTCTTTCTACCATCTACCGGCACTCTATTCATACATTCAGGTATGAAGATGATGAGTAAAAACAAAATCACATACAGGAAATCATCGAATGCTTATTTGGGAAACAAATATTGATCGATGACAAAAAGAAGATCAGTTGTCAATACTTACGGATTGATTTCACTTGATTTACTTCCATCTTTTTCTAGTCGTCTCTCTCTTCCGTTATTCCATTAGCATCAGTCAGTGCTTTCTATTCTTTCGCTTACATTTTTCTACCAATTTCTCGTTCGCTTGTTATTGTATTTAACTCTGCCTCCTCCGAGTCAAGTAGCACAATGTATATACAGAAAAGGATTTCGTTATATATTAAAAAAAAAAAAACTTCTATGACAGAGAAAAACGAGAGAAATGCCACATGATAGTGGTTTAATCTATATCTTATATAGACACTAGCGGAAACATGATTACTATATAAGTACAATTTCATTTGACCTGAGCGAGCCTTTTTCATGTCTGGCATAACCCAATCAATCATAAATCAATTTGTTTTTCAAAATGCATATATACATGATTTTATGTAAAATATAAAATTCTTAGCTTTGTTAAAAAAACAACTACAATCGAATGTTTCGATAGAGAACAAATTTCTGTTGTTTTTCGTTGAAGTGTGTCAAACTTAAGTAAAGATAAGAAACGTATTATAGAACAAAATTTTTTCTATCTCCGACTAATTGAGCTCTCGACACTATGCATACATCTTATGTCTAACCTTCTATATTCATTTAGATCCAAGTTAACAATTTTTTTTTTGTCTAGTGCATTGTTTTTCTATCTAAGGATGAAAATAAGAAACGATAAATTCTTTTATACACATACCAACCATTTTTATGGGCTTTATCTTATTGATTATATCACGAAGTGTTGGTAAAATAAAGCTAATTTATTAGTCGAATATAGAAAGTACATGTTGCCTTTCAACTGTCGTTCTGTTTTTACTACTTCAAAACATATTTCATATATACATTGACTTTATTTTTACGAAGACTTATTTAAATGTCAAAACTTAATAATCTATAAACATATGTATTCTGAAAAAGAAATTTTGCTATTTAATAATCGAATTCCAATCACGTTTATATTGAACTTTGTATTCACATGAAAAAATATCGACGTCATATCGTTAAATCGAGCTATTTTCAGACCATAAAGGATTTTTATCATATATTGGATCAATTAATCACTCTTGCATTGAAAAGATTTATCTATTTTCACTACAAAGTGAATCTCTAAAGAAAAATCAATCTAATTCATTTTCATCTTATTATCTAGACTAACCATGATGCAGTCAAACAACTGACAGAACAACAATAATTACTCGATTGATTATTATTCAGAAGAAATAGTTAATTGAATAATGTCACAATAAATAATTTTATTTTTCATGACCATGCCGATACTGGTAGTTTTACTATGATTGTAATTAGTATTCTTGAGAGAAGAGAATTAGTTTATAAATTCAGTTGAAAACCAATATATTTATGAGTTGTACGAGAATATTAATTGTTGATTTAGAATTCGATAGAGTTGTTAGATTTACTCTCTATAGAGATTTATTTAATAGATACAACATTATTCTGTAACATGATGCTGATATTCTACAGAACCAGTGAAACAATCAATTTCTGTACCGATATTATTAGCTCATTACTCCTTGGCATTCATTCAGTAGAATTGACGTCGACTCAACCACGCGAAATAGCATATGCAGGTATCAATTATGACAACGATATAGCTAATTTTAGTCGAATCTATTTCATTTTGTGGAGATAAAGAATGAATCAAAAATGACACATTCGTCTTGAATGGTAGAAAAATTGAGTTTATTGTTAATTGATTTAGTTTTATGGCTATTTTATTTTATCTGTATAAAGAGTGTCTCATAATAACTGAGAATAAGTTATGAACGATATTCTTCATATTTCTTTCTTGACGTAGAAGGCTGAACTTTGTTCTCACATATACGTGCCTAACAAAGATCTTTAATTTTTGCAAAAGTTCAGCTTTCTTACTAAAACTAATACTGAAATGTTTGAACAAAGTTAGCATAAATGAATTGTTGTACGAGATATTTGTAATGTTTTTACTACATAGTCAATCGTGACAGAATAGCTAACGATTGTTTTAGATATAGAAATGCAATTATATCTAAAATCTTTTAGATTGAAAGACAAATTTTATCTTAAATGTCTACGAGTTAAAAAAAACAGAAAAAATTGTAAATGGTATGTATTGAATTTAAAGCAACTAAAAACATAAAGAGTATGTTCATTCACATTGAATTTTATTATAATTTATATTTTTTTTGAAAAAATTTGTTTTGTAAAGTTCTTTTTCATCCATTGTTTCTCAATATCACTAATCAAGAAATAAACATGTCACAAAAATGAAGTACGAAAATGCATGAATTTTAATCTTTTCCATACATTTCAGCATTAGTTTTGCTTAAACTTTGGAAAATCAAAGATCTTGTCTAGATATATACGTGTGAGGAAAATTTTAGCTGTCTATGCCAAGAAAACGTATGCAAAATAAAATTGACAATTTATCTTCCGTTAGTTTGGGACACGTTGTAAATTTGGAAACCTACTAACTGTGGATTAATTTTAAAAAAAAAGATTCATTTGAAGGAACCATATATTGTTAGACATTTTCGAAGCCAACTATTTTCGGATTGAAATCATGGTCTTTCATTTCCTGGATCATACCAGAATCGTTAGTTTTCATTTTCTTGTCATAATAGAGAGTCATTGTTTCTGATTCCGGTTTGAAATGATCCATTCCTATGATTAAGATCTCACTGAGAAAGAAAGCCATAACAAAAGCTACAATTTTTATCTTTTATCAATCAGAAGTTATTTAAAAATAGTCATGAAATGCTTTTTTTTGAAGTTGCTGTTATTTCAAATAAAGTATTAATAATGAACATCGTATTATTTCATGAGTTTATATCTAAAACAAAATATCTCTAGAATAACCAATTATTCATATTATTCACTACGAATAGATCAAAAATGAATGAAGTTATCGTGAAAACTTCTGCTTTCACATTTGTAATTAAGAGATTTTTAAAAGTTAACCTGCAAATAAATTATGTCCATAGCGGTACAAATTAATTTCACAAAGATTAGAACGATTAGTGTTTGTAAGTGAATAAAATAAAAGAAGCAGATTTTTCAATTTTTTCAAAAGAAAACATCATTTTTTAAACTCGTATATTTTAGCCAAGGAATGATGAGAAAAAACTTTAATTTTGTTTTCGACTTTGTAGCTTATTTGAAAGCTCAAGATAATGTTTCGGAATGGTTTCGACTCGATGCTTTAATTATTCGAAATAGATAGTTTCTATGAATGGATCAAAAATAGACCAACAGGATATAAAGGATTAAATGCCTTTTACATCGACAGTTTTCTTATCAGAGAAACTCGTCAAATGACAAATCGCTTTTAAGATAAGTCTTAACTCGTTAGATACTCTCTTGAAAGTAAACATAGCCTAAATGGATTCTTGTCAACAGATCTTCTTTCTTGAGTTGCGACCATTTTAGTGAATTCTACAAAGAAAATTCTTTTTGACTTTCTTCAAATCATTTTTAAAATTGACTTTCAACTATAAACTTTACACAAATGAAGTTTTCAACAAGACTAGTTCATAATGAAAGTATTTAATTTTCTAGTATGTCCTATCCTCAGATATCAAGAATGAAAATTCTATTATGAGGACAAAGTAAGTTTTATTTTTATATTTATATCTCAGGATAGAAGATATTAGAAAGTCTGACACATTGACAATGAGCTAGTCCTAAGAGAGGTTCACCTAATGAAATAAGATTCATTCTCAGAAATGATTTGTCACTTGACAAGATTTTCTTGTTAATCTATGCATAAAAGTCTTTAGTCTTTTATTTCAATATGCAACTTTCATTTTTTATTTTTTATATTGAACAAAAGTACAAAGAGTAACAATTCAAAAACAAGAAGAACAAGTGTCATGCGGTCAATTATCGGTAATTTTTCGGAGTTGTTTTTGTACACTCGAAAACACAATTTGTATAAGTTTTAGATCGATTTCTTTCAATTGTTTTGTAAATCGAATTAGAATAACCCTTTCTCTTTTGTTTAATAGCTCTCAATAAATGACATAAAACATACCTTAAATACAGTCATTCAAATATGTTGTTTGAGTAATAGCTTATTTTTGTTTCGCGAAGAACGATCTCGAAATGTTGTTTTCAAACACAACAATACAAAGTAATGATTTTGATTCAAACATCTGATTTCTTTTAAACTTAACATCTGGTGATGTAGTCCTTCTATGCTAACTCACAATCATCTTTTAACAATACACGATGCAAACGACGTGTACGAGTTGGAACTTTTTGAAGTTGTTTTTCAGTATGTTTTTGATGCCCGTTATATTTTTTTTTGTATTAGTGTATGTCTGCCTGCCTATAGCTTTCAAATGATTACCAATTGTTTTTAAGCTAATTTTGAATTTTGGAGCTATTTGACGTAAAAAAAAATACCAATCTTATGATTCACTAATTATTGCATTTGTGTTAACGGTTCACGTGATAAGTTCTTTGGACAACTGAATCCACGTTGGTCACGAATATCGCCAAAATATTTATACTTCTTATTAATAGGCATTATATACAGTTTGACGAGGAATGTTCTCTCATGAAAAATGATTTATGGTAACGTTTTTGTGTTTGTTTGCTGCAGTAATGTAGTGTTGTGCAGCCCACTTTTGCAGATGTTCTCTTTCTGAACATGTCATATCTATTAAATGAAATGATGATATAACATCTTATATATCGATTTGAAGCTTTGCGAATGCTCTATCAATTGATGGGTAGAAAAGCAAGAAAAACTTAGTCCACTGTCAGGAACGTTTGTAACGATTTTGTACCAAGGTTTTTTATACATAGACTGATAGAACTTCTTTTGTATAAATCAAAATAAGATTTAGATCGAAAGTTTTTAGACAATATATTTGATTATCTTTTTGGATATTTAAATTCATTGGAAAAGAATGATAAATCCTGTATTAAAATCAGAATTTTGTGCCCTTTTAGAACATATGCTAAGAATTTTTCTGTAACTTTTGGCAATTAAGCTATATGTGAATCTTGAAAA